TTGCCCATTAATGATAGCTATAAGCCATATAAACAGCCACCTCACCGAATGTCTCAAGAGGTGGTAGACAAAATCAAGGTAGAAATTGAATGATTGTTGGATGCTGGTTTCATTCGAACTACAAGGTATGTCGAGTGGTTATCAAATGTAGTTCATATTATTAAGAAGAATGGCAAATTACGAATATGTGTTGATTTTTGAAACATAAACTCGGCAACCCCAAAAGATAAATATCTTATGCCGATAGCCGATAAATTAATTGATGCGGCTGCCAAGCATGAAATCATGCTTTTTATGGATGGACACTCAAGCTATAACCAAATTTATATAGCCAAGGAAGATATCTCAAAGACAGCTTTTAGATGTCCAGGATCGATTGGAACTTTTGAATGGGTGGTAATGCCTTTTGGATTGAAGAATGTTGGTACTACATATCAGCGAGCTATGAATCCTATTTTTCATGATATGCTCGGCAAATTTATGGAGGTGTATATTGATGATGTGGTGGTGAAATCAACAACAAAAAAGGATCACTTCGTTTATCTCAAAGCATCTTTTGAGAGGATGAGGGCTCATAAGCTAAAAATGAATCCAATAAAGTGGGCTTTTGGAGTGTTGATAGGAAACTTTTTGGGTTTCTTGGTTCATCAAAGGGGCATAGAGATCGATAGGGATAAAGCTAAGGCAATTATTGATGCTAGTGTGCTAAGAAGCAAGAAACAATTGTAGAGGTTACTTGGTCAAGTAAATTATCTCAGAAGATTTATTGCTAATACAGCTGGTAAGTTACATATGTTTTCCCCTTTACTCAAGTTGAAGTCGATGGAAGAGTTTAAATGGGATGATACATACCAAAGGGCATTTGACCAGATTAAAAAATACTTGTCGAGTTCTTCTGTTATGATGTCACTAAAGAAGAAATGGTCAATGAAGTTATATTTATCGGCTACTGAAGAATCCATCAGAGCTATGCTGACATAAGAAAATGAAGCAGGAAGTGAATAAGCAATATACTATCTCAGCCAAGTTTTAACTCGAGTCGAGTGTAGATAAACGCCGATTGAGAAATTATGTTTGGCTTTGTATTTTGCAGCAATGAAATTAAGAGCATATATGTTGCCTGTATTGGTTTATATTGTTTGTCAAATAAATCTTATAAAGTATATGCTATCAAGGCCATTAATCATAGGCTGGATTGGCAAATGGGCTCTAGCACCAATGGAGTTCAACTTTATATATGTTCCACAAGAGGCAATTAAGGAGAGAGTATTGGCAGATTTTCTTGCCGATCATCCTTCAGCTGAAATCGAGACACAAGTGTATGATGAATTTGACTCAGTGGTGCGTGCTATACCTATGCACCAAAAGTTTGCAAAGATATGAACTAAGATGAGTGCGGCCAAGTTTTACATTTATAATTTGCCACTACTACCTTTCACTAAAAATATAGTCAAGGCGAGTAGGGATCGTCCCAAGGGATTGGTGGGTTGTATTAGGTTGTGGAATCGAGATTAGGGTTAGTAGGTCGAGTGATCAAAAGATTGGTTGGTGATTGAAATATACTAAGATGCAATTTAAACTAAAGTCAACAATTAAATACAATAAAGAGAAAATAAGAGAGAGAGATCATGGGGTTTAGAGATCATCACTAAGCATAGCTTTTCTACACCTTTAATGAATGATTAATGAAGGGGAAAACATGTATTGCAACAATAGTGTGTGTGTGTGGTTGTTTCAACAAGCATGGATGACTAATTAAGTATATATTGTGTAAGCAACATTGTGGATAGCACAATATATCAAACTAAGCCATTAATCCTTTCTTTAAACTCACAACCCAAACATATCACAAGGTTAGAGACATATGCTACTTGTTTTCTTAAGTATGGAACATCAAACAACAAGCATGGGTTGTCCTCCCATTTAACATCTAAACTACAACTACACTACAATTAAGCTAATGACATGAATTTAAACTAATTAAACTAAGGGAGAGGCACAATCCATCAAGAAATGAGTATGAACCATCAAATAAACCATAAGAGCATTCTATTAAGCACTATGTCTTGGCAATATCTAGATCTATAGCATCAATACACATAGACATGCATCAATAATACAAAATCTAGAGACAAATGCATGAACATCTATTCTAGCATACATAGACATATAGATAGAATGAAATAATTAATTGGAAGCATTAAACCACACAAATTATTGAATAAACAAGACCTATATATATAAAAATGTCAAAACATATATCATAATACAAATACCCTCAAAAATACATAAATCAAGATGTAGAAAGCATGCTTAGTGTCACGGGCCTAGAGATTTGGCGCAGCGGCACGGCCTGTGCGGCACCAAGGCGTTGCTTTAGCTCGCGCAAGCACCCTGGTCAGCCACCACGACCTGCTCTCCCAAGGATACATGCTGACTGGTTTCGGCTTACCATGGCCTCGTCAGGGGAACGGCTCCAACTCCCGACCAGTTTGTGCAAGGATGGCTAACTCCCTTCTTCATAGTCAAGTCCACGACCAGCGACAAGCACCTCGAACTAAACCGAGTCGACCTGCCTGAACTCTGAAGAGGTACCATCCTGTGCTCTTACACGCCCCTTCCCTGGAACCATTCCCAGTCAAACTCTGCCCTTGCCAACCAGCATGCATGTCTTCCATCCTCCGAGCGTCTTAGGAATCACTTCGTGACATTCTCCCCCACCCAAATCCTGCGACGTCCTCGTCGCAGTGCGGCGCTTCACTACTGCGTCCACTCCCTTCCAAAGTCTGCCTCCATGCGGTATGCTCGCCTTCCCACCATTGCTTTCTTGTGCAGCACCCTGCACTGCACTCTCCCAATGATAGGCCTCGGACCAAGGGGACGTCCACTCCTCAAGGACGTGACTCTTCTCCGTTATGCCGCCTCCGTGATATCCCGAGCAAGCAATGGCCTCCTGCCGACTTAATGCTCGCCCTTCACCATGGTTTGCATCACCTAAGGACTAAGCACGAACTTTGGTGCACGCGGCCCTCCGGCCCTTCAATGCGCAACTTCAATGGACGCCTCTTCCTGGGGAGATGGAGGCTCTCCCCCCCAACTGCATTGATTCCTCCTCATCGACGCAACTTCAATGCACCGTCTTCATTCTCTGACCCTTCCCTGACCGACAAGGGGGCACCCCACCGTGCTTTACCCCAAGTCCTGCTCCGATACCATTTGTCACGGGCCTAGAGATTTGGCGCAGCGGCACGGCCCGTGTGGCACCAAGGCGTTGCTTCAGCTCGCGCAAGCGCCCTGGTCAGCCACCACGACCTGCTCTCCCAAGGATACATGCTGACTGGTTTCGGCCTGCCATGGCCTCGTCAGGGGAACGGCTCCAGCTCTCGACCAGTTTTTGCAGGGATGGCCAACTCCCTTCTTTATAGTCAAGTCCACGACCAGCGACAAGCACCTTGAACTGAACCGAGTCGACCTGCCTAAACTCTGAAGAGGTACCATCCTGTGCTCCTGCACGCCCCTTCCCTGGAACCATTCCCAGTCAAACTCTGCTCTTTGCCAACCAGCATGTGTGTCTTCCATCCTCCGAGCGTCTTAGGAATCACTTCGTGACATTAGGGTTAACTCTAGCCCCAAGAGGATGTCTAGCCACTCATGAATGGTGTCCTCCAACCCTCAAGGGCTAACTCCATGGTAGAAATTGCTCCTCTTCTTAGTTGACGGAAGAACTCCAAGCTTGTGTCTTTGGCCTCCTCTCTTCTTTTCTTCCTCACCAAGAATATGATATATGATATTGTGTCCAAAGTCTCTTTAGTATGTATGTGTATATCTATGCTCTCAAGAATGGCTCATATTCCTTATATAGGTAGGTTAAAATGTCACCCCCAATGACCTGGGCTCATACACCAATATTCTTCCCAATGATTGGATATGAGACAACTTTTAATGAGCTGGAAATTGAATTTTCTTGCACTTAGGGAAGTTCGATCGATCGAACATTCTCTGAGATCGATCAAATATGGCTAAGATCTATCGAACTTAAGCTGGATCGATCCTCTATGGCGGCGCCTATAAAGACAAATCTGAGATATTTTGATATTTTTGGGAAAGAGACAAAAGTGGTAGGTGTGGTGGTACAACTGGATAAGATGAAATCTTTTCGATCGATCTAAGAATTATTTAATCGATCGAACTTTGTGGGATCTTTGGATAAAGACAAAAGAGCTTGGATCTATCTTGAAATGCTGAATCGATCAAAGTTGGATCGATCGAATATTTCCTGAGATCGATCGAACTTGCTAAATTTCCACCATTTGCTTCCTTTTGCTCCTTTCTTTGATTCATCTCAAGATTGCTTCAATTATACTCTTATTTAGCTCAGTTAGCTTATTTTGGGGATAAGTATCTGAAAATGGAAATAATACAAAATTAATCTAAAATGAGAAAGTAAGATAAATAAAGGTTCTAGAATACCTAAGCTTAAGGGGTTTAAATGCGCACTTTTTAGCGCTAATCACTCGGCATCCATATACATGATTCCTCGGACTTTAATGTTCGATGGGTCGAGTACTAGCGAAGGCTCAGGAGCTGGAATAGTAATAATATCCCCATCAGGGAACCAAATTTTATTTTCCTTCTTTTTGGATTTTAGGTGCTCAAACAATCAAGTCGAGTATGAAGCATTGATTATCGGCTTTAAAATTCTATTGGAAATGGCAGTCAAAGATGTCTACATTGAGGGAGATTCAAGTTTGGTGATTAATCAGATCTCAGAAGACTTTAAATGTTTAAATTGGCAATTAAGGCCATTTCATTCATTGGCAACCTAATTGGTCAACCAATTTCATAATGTGACTTTGGAATATAAACCAAGGGCCATGAATAAAATAGCTAATGATTTAGCACATACTGCCTCAGGAATCAAGGTGCCGAGTGGTATGAAGGAAAGGATAATGAAAATCACAAGCCGATCTCTTCCATCGGCTGAAATAAGAAATTAAGTTATGGAAGAAGTTTTTGCCACTGATGTTGTCGAGTTAGACGATGATGATTGGCAGATTCCATACAACTTATTCTTACAACATCTAACTCCAAAAACTGATCGAAAAATAAAAAGAAATGCAGTCGATTATATACTTATGGATGGAGATCTTTACAGAAGATCGGCTGATGATGGTTTGCTATTTCAATATATTAGTAAGTTTGAAGGTTTAAATATTATGGCAGAGGTACATGAAGGAATATGTGGAGCTCACCAAGCTGGCATAAAAATAAGATGGTTGATACGTCGATATGGATATTATTGGCCTATAATGAGAAAAGATTATATGACCTATACAAAGGGTTGTACAGATTGTCAAAAACATGGCCCAAAGTAGTGGGTTCCAGTAATAGAGATGTAGTTATTAGTCAAACTATGGCCTTTCAGAGGTTGGGCCATGGACCTAATCGACAAGATCAATCCTCCTTCATCAAAGGGTCATCATTGGATTATTTTGGCTACCAATTATTTTTCTAAATGGGTAGAAGCTAAGGAATATGTATTAGTAACTCAAAATACTGTGATATAATTTTTGGAGCGACATATCTTTCACCGATTTGGTTTACCAGAAACAATTGTTGCCAATAATGGATCTGTGTTTCGAGTAGGAAAAACGTTACAATTTGGCCATAATATACAGGTAAAAATGTTAACTTCAACACCATACTATGCTCAAGGGAATGGTCAAGCCGGGGCTTCAAATAAAGTTGTAATTGAAATTATTGAGAAAATGATAAAGGACAAGCTAAGATGTTGGCATGAAACCCTTTCAGAAGCCTTGTGGGCTTATAAAAATTTAAAAAGGACAAGTACAGGAATAACTCCTTATCGGCTAACATTTGGCCATGATGCTGTGTTGTCGATGGAGTTAAATGTAAAATTAGCAAGGGTAGCTCTACAACACAATCTAATACCTGCCGATTATAATGAAACTATGCTTGCCAAGTTAGAAGACTTAGATGAAGTTTAGAAACTTGCTTTAGGCCACCTTATGGTCCATAAAGCAAAGGTAATGAAGGCTTACAACAAAAAGGTGAAGTTCAAATCATTTATAGAGGGTGATATGGTCTGGCAAATAATTCTTCCATCGGGACAGGTAAATAGAACTTATGGTAAATGGTCGCTTACTTGGAAGGGACCATATTTGGTTTACCAAACAGTGTTACATAGAGGTGCATATGAGTTGAAGGATTTGGATGGTGAGGTGCATGAAAGACCAGTAAATGGAAGGTATTTGAAGAAGTATCAAACCACTATTTTTGAACTTATGGAGGAAAAGAAAGCCTCTAATAAGTCAAATATATAGGGTGAGTGTTCAGCTTAAACCATTTATGAAACTAGAATAAGGATGATAGTGGGTGGTTCTATGGTGTGTATATCAACTCGATACAATGGGTGTAATTTAAATTTTGGAAGCCTAATTGAAACGACTACCAAAATTTGGGGGCATTGTTGACACCTATTTTGGTAATTACATGGGCATTAACATGGCAGTATGCATTGGTTTAAAATGGAACATTTGGCAGAATTACTGTGCAGTGATGTGGCTATAATTTGGTTTGAAATGGGTTTATGTTGTTTACATAGATTAAAATGCAAGTTGGGAAGCCTTTGAATTGACTAGTGGATAAGGATAAAAAGCTAGTATTTATCTTTTAGATAAGTTTAGTTATATAATTTTAGTATATATTGATTAGTTTATTTAGTTTAATGTTGATGATTATCTCTAGGTTTAGTTTATTTTGAATTTATCATTAGTTGTTTGATAGAGTTTTGATGTAATTAGAATGCTTATGTATAGGATTTGGTTTCGATTTATTCTATAAATAAACAAAGAGGCATGTTGTACTAGGGGTCTAGCACCCTCAGAATCCTTTAATTTATTTGTTTGCTTTCTCAAGCCTTTCCTAGAATAGCATCCTTGCTATTTCTTCTTTATCTTTATCTATCTCTCTCAATATCTTTTTCTATCTTTCTCTCTCTCTCTCAATCCTTCTCTTTATATTTCTTTCTAAATCTATTTCTCTCCCCTTTCTATTTTCTCAATTATTATTACAAATTATTCATTGTAAAGTCCTTTTAAACAATTCTTGAACTCAAAGAGGAGTTTTACTGTTCTCTTTATCCTTGCATCGCCTGAAAGTCAACCTTCCCAAAGATACTAACGTTGACAACTCACACTCGAACCACAATATTGGTTCTGGCACGCCCGCATTATATCAATTCTGAATCAGATCTTAGGAGCCGAATTTAGCGTCAACAATATTCATTTCTCATTCTTGATATTATTTGTCAATTAGGTACTTGACTACAAGAAAGCAAACTTTGGAACTTGAAGCAATCATTGGAGCTTAAAGCTAACATAAAAATTTGAAGTTGCTTAAGGACCTTTGTGAGCAGTGGCGTAGCCAGGAATTTCTTCCAGTGGCGGCAATTTTTAATAGCAGCAATATATATATATATATATATATATATATGTATAATATATGTATATAATTTGAACCAAAATAATATATGTAAAAATTGAAACATTGATTGATAACATTTCTATTTGTACATTCACAATTGCCCTCGACGATTTTTCATATTCTGAAAGCGTTGAATAATAACATCATTGTTAACAGTACTAAATATGTCTCTCTCAATATACACAACCATCATATCATTCATCCATTCGTCTTCCATTCGATTGCGCAGTCGAGTTTTCAAAATATTCATGGCAGAAAAAGCCCTCTCCACTGTGGCAGTAGCAACTGGCAAAATCAATGCCAATTTCAAAAGCAAGTAAACTAATGGATAAGCCTTGTCTCTTTTTGTCTTAACCATTCTTCGAGCAAGATCACCAATTCCTTTTAAATTTGAAAACTCCTTGTTAGAGCACATGTCAATAATATAAGTGTTAAGTTGATCACCAAGTTTCAGGAGGTCTAACGAAGCAAAATCTCTTGGATAAAATTTAGCAAGTCGGATTAGTTTTTCCTTGTCAAAAGAAGCGAATGAATCATCTGGACACAAACACGATATACAAATAAGCAACTCAGTGTTTGACTCACTGAAACGACTATTCAGCTCTTGAAGTTGGATGTCCAACACAGCATAGAAAAATTGCACATGATAATAATGCAAATTTGTGATTTCATTAGCTTTACGTCGTGATCGTCCTGGAGTTACAAGTGTATCATTCAAGTTGGGAACTTCAATACCATGTTTTTCATAAAAAGAAGAAACTTGATCGAGTAAAGAATCCCAACCACTCTCTCTTATTATTTGAAGTTCTTTCTTGTATACTTTAATCAAGGACATAGCATTTTCAATGTCTTGATTTTTCTTTTGCAGTGCCTTTGACAATTCATTTGTAACTCCCAAAATAGCTCTCATTAAATAGAGAGTAAAGACAAAACTGAATGACTGCATGAGTGTCAATAAAATTTTTGCTTCAGATCTCTGTTCAACATATGATCCATCATCTATAATTATCTCAAGCACATCAATAACAGATGAGAACATGGAAATCAAGCTGATTAAAGTATCATAGTGAGAGCCCCAATGTGTATCACTAGCACGCTTCAAAGTAGTATTCTGATTAAGACCCCGTCCACTTTCAATTTCACCATTGTTGAGTGCTTCAATAACCATGGTAGCTTGTTTTTCATGAAGAATATTACAACGTTTACATGAAGCCCTAACAACATTGACCACATTAGCAACATAGCTAAAAAAAGTAGTGATATCAACATGACTTTTTGTAACTTTCACAAGAGCCAACTGTAGTTGATAAGCAAAACAATGGACATAAAAAACACATCCATTTTCCTTTAAAATTAGTGTTTTAAGACCATTAAATTTGCCTTGCATATTACTAGCTCCATCATATCATTGCCGTGCAATCTAGTTATACTTAGTTCATGCCTACAAAATAGTTCATCAATTGCCATCTTAAGTGAAAGAGCAGTGGTACTTGTAACATGTTCCACACCTATAAAATGTTTAATTACATCACCATCCATATCCACATAATGAAATACAACAGCCATTTGTTCCTTTGTTGATATGTCACGAGATTCATCAATCATGATAGAAAATAGTTCATCTCCAATATCACTAATAATAACACTAATAGTTTCAATGGCAGCAGCATTCACAATATCCTTTTGAATATCAGGTGAGGTTAACTTAAGATTTTCAGGAGCATTCTTTAATGCTACTGATTTAACATCCTCATTATAATTAGCAAGAAACTTTAAAAGCTGGAGGAAATTTCATTGATTACTTGAATGCTCAGATTCATCATAACTATGAAATGCAAGCCCTTGTTCTAATAAATACCGAATGCAATCAATTGATGCAGTCAAACACTTTCGATAATCAATTCTAGTCTAGTCTGATTGCTTGAAAATTATTGTTTGAATGTGTTGATTTTGATTATTTAAAGCTTCATATTGATTCTAAGCTTGGTTGTGGGCACTATTTGGCCCTCCAACATGAATTTGAAGTCTGTCTTTCTTCTTCCAATTTGAAAATCCTTCACTAACAAAAGAGTCACCACCTGATTGTTCTCCTATATTATGCTTAAAAAGATAGCAATATAAACAAAATAATGCATCTTTTGAAATACTATATTCTAACCAATTAGAATAATCATTAAACCAATCAGGATTAAATCGTCTTAACACTAATGCTTGTCCAAATTTCTTTTGTGGAAATTTGTGTTTTTGAGGTTGACAAAGACCTTTTAGTATATATGCTCTGCGAATTTGGTCTTGAATATTGGGATTGTAATCTGTAATCCTAGTTTGTAACCCAGGATCTGAACGAAGATTTGGTAAGTTAATTTCCGTACGACTTTTTTTTGGGTTGTCATCATTTCTTTCTTGAGGTTGACCTAAAGGAAGATTTGACTTTTTTTTGGGTTGTCATCATTTCTTTCTTGAGGTTGAGGGGATGGCAAGTCTTGTATTCTTTTGTAATATCTTTTTAGATTATTCATTGCTGTTTAAAAAATAAGCTCATTCAAATAATGAAATAAATATACTAAAAAAAAAAATATCATATTCAATGAATGAAGAATAAAATATGAAAAAAAAATAACATAGTTACTTAAATATAACTGTTCTAATATATTATATATCACATATGTAAAAATAAAATTACATGATAATTGATAACCAATTTCATTCCAAAAAATTTCATGATAAGAATTAAGAAATATTCTTAATAACTACCATGTCTATCAATCGACTCATAATAAAAATTCATTCATATTAAAAATAAAATAAAAAACAAAGATATGAAGATAACTAATCTTATAAGTTAAAACCATATAATCCAATCAATCGCAAAATTTGATAGAGTAAGTGAATATGTGATTTCATTGATTTGGGCTGCAAGCCTGCAAATAAAAAAAAAAATTCTTCAGTCATATATATAAAAATATAATTAGTAACACAATTACACAAATTAAATTTTGAAAGAACAAGCCCTAAAATAATTTTGATAGAAATAACTAATAATTTTTCTAATTAAAATTATAATATCAAATAATAATCATAAATTTAGATGATAAAAAAAATAGTACGACTTACCGAGTTTCTGTTTACTGGTAAAGTAGTATGGTTGCTCCGCTTGCTTTTTTTGGATTGTGAATTTGTGAAATGTTGAAGACTCGCGGAAAGAAAAATATTGAAGACTAAAAAATTGAAAATGCGATGGAAACAACGCATTTGCTTGTGGCAAAGTAAAAAATGTGAGAATATCTTTATTTTTTTTAGGAAAAGTAGGAAATAATATAATATTTTGAGAAAGTAAAAAAAAATATCATATTGTTTGGGAAAGTAGAATATAATATTTTGGGAAAGTGAAAAAAAAAATTATATTTTGTGGGAAAGTGTAAAACCGTGAACGAGTTTTGATTATATATATATATATATAGTATATATATGTGCACTGTTAAATTTTAGTATACGTATATAAAAATCTTTCCATAAAAAAGTAAAATAAAATAAAAAATTAAAAGTTCAGTGGGGGCAGTTGCCCCCACTTGTCCCCTATGGCTACGCCACTGTTTGTGAGCAATTCTTGAAACTCTTATATTTTAATTGTGCACTTCTTTGCATGCTTGTGATAGCCCTTGTTGAGGCTCAGTTCATTGCTTTATTTCAAGTCCAAGCATCGGCCCGTGTGGAGGCCAAATTTTTTTCTTGCATTTGGATTTTAATTTTGAATGAAAGAATTGTTTGATCCAAGTTTAGGGAAAAATTACATCCCTTCACCTTATGCTCCTCCATCATATTTTAATCCTTATAAGATTGAGTCCAATTCATTTAATGCATCATCTTATTATGGACTTTATCACTCTTTTAATCCTTCTTATGACTATTGCCCTCCCCCACCATTTTATGAAAAACTACCTCCATCACCTTATTCACCCGAGTTTCAAGAATAAGTGTTAGCTCTACTTGATGGGCTTAATTCACAAACTCAAGATATTAATTCTCATTCTCAAATCTTAGCCAAGCTTGAAGCTCAAGTTGAGCAAATTGTAAGTACTCTTTCTCGTTAAGAGTAGGAAGAAGAGGCAAATGAAAAAATGGCAAGAACTTTAATTTATATAGATGAGGATAATGAAAGTGAAAAGGAAGAAGTAGTACGTGAGCAATTTGAGAAGTTAATGAGTCCATCAATGACTAATTCAATACAGCACAACATGATTAATGAGGACTTTCCTTATTTTGATCATGATTTGATTCCGGCCTTTGATACTTTAGAGAATGATGTGATGTTGACCACTATAGAGGTAGGAGATGTGATACACACTAATTTCGGAACAGGGGTTGATCAAGTCCGCGCACAAAAGTAGGGGATATCAAAACAATTAAAGTATTTCAAACAAGCACAGAGTACAAAATGAAATAAAAAGAATAAATAATATGCTGAAGAAAACTAAGGAATAAAAATTTCTATTAATAACTTGCCAATGGTTACAACTTGGGAATCCGTAACTCAAGGACCCCTTAACCAAAATCCATAAATCCATAAATAATACTGAAGTAATAATATCCTACTATGAAATAAAATAGAAAGATTAGATAAGTCCTCTAGTTGTGGATCCTCAACTTTGAGACTTGAACTTCTAATAACCTGAAAAATAAATCGTGGGTTAAACCCTATGAGTAAGTTCACTCTACCAGGCCTCTGAAAACCAATAAGCAGATCATCTCTGATCAAAACCAAACCTAATAAAGTTTTAACTTTAATTAAGCACGATATACATGTCTATATATAATTATATATACTATACTAATCACATCCATTAATAGGTTTATTAAATTTCCATACCTATTAACCAATTATTAAAAAAATAATCATTCCCAGACCAATCTACCATTTATTTTAAAAAGAAACTCCTTTAACCCTAATTCCATCCTAGTCAGTTGTTTAATCATTTAAACAATAAATTATAATAAAAAGAATATTATATTTAATCCCAAACCCGATAATGATTTTAATTATTTAAATCACATGTCCAAAATCTAAACTTTGACAAATCATCCATGTGTCCACCAGTATTATTTTACTAATATGTATAAAAATAATACACTAACCTGTCAGTACTAGACTATTCTAATTTAAGAATATCTAACCCTAATCCAACTTATACATACACCAGCCATAAATGATATATTTTAATCATTTAACACATAACAATATTATTACCATTTGGCAAATCAACCATGCCATTAAAAATATATTTATTTATATATTGACAATTCAACCATGCCTCCACATGTATATTTAGTTATACATTGACAATTCAACCATGCCTCCACATGTATATTTAGTTATACATTGACAATTCAACCATGCCCCTACAAGTATATATATTTATACTAATAACTAGCAACTCATCCATGCTTCCTATATATATATTCTATTCAGGCAATATATATTTACGCCTATGGCAACTCATTCATGTACAAATTGTAGGCTCAACGATAACTAATTTATACATGGATATCTTAGATTACAAGCAAATCCCTAATTTAATAACCAGTCTATCCAGATACATTAAATAAGAATAATAACACTAATAACCTTAATTAACATACATATATATACACATATACAATATGTCTTTCCCAAATAATCCTTGATTATTTAATCCTATATATATATATATATATATATATCCTTCCTTCCATGCGAATCATAATTTAATCAAATCTATGTATACACACACACACACACACACACACACACACATATATATAATTTTATATATACATATATACGCCACATTCCTTAATAATATAATAAGTTATTATATTTACGCAAAGTAAATGTTACTAATGAATGTAGTAACACTCTATGGCTTTCAGGACACCAAGAGCACCTCCTATAGTAGTTGTTTTCAATCCTAATAGGCTTAAAACCAATTCTGGAAATTCACCGGACCTCACAGGACCTTAACAGAACCTTAAATAGTGCTTTACGTGCCCCCACGCGCCACCACAAGCTCCTACACCCCTGCACGCGCTCCCACGCGCCTCCACAAGCTGCCATGTGTTAACACGCGCCCCCACGCGCCTGATCCTCCTTCTGGTTGATGTGGCATGCTGCCATTTGCTGGATGCATAGTCTCCTTATGTGCGTGTTACACCAGATCAGTTCACCGCGTCTCCATGCTCCTGTGACGCACCAAATCAATCCCTCTTTGGCCCATCTTCATCTAGGGCTCAAATCCCAGGTGCACTGATTTCTTATAAAGCTGCACCACACCATATCAACCCATTTAACTAAACTAATCCAATGGTCTAGATTCGCTTGTACACACTATTAGACTACACCATGCCGCACTAGATTACTAACCTAATTTTCTTACATGCCGCCGCCGCTACAGGACCTCTCATATATATATATATATATATATATATAAAACAATATATAATTTTTTTTCTAGAATAAATATAAATAATTCTAAATAATTTCAAAAAAATATAAAACAATTTTAGAAAATTTCAGAAAATTCTCAAAAATTCTATAAACCCTAAATAATCCTCTTGGGTCATAGATCAAGCATTACAATTGATTTTAAATATATACAGCCTATATATATAATTAAAACCCTACAATTCCAAAAACAAAAATAATAATAAACCATGCTTTTAATTCTCCAATTTAATCCTGATTTAATCAAATAAAATTAACTTAATATTTTTTATTAACTCTGTTCTAACCATGATTTAAATTAACAATTTAATTAAAGCCTTGATACTCAAGGTGAAATCCTTATGGATTTTAAGAGGAAAGATAGAGAAAACTCGCCTGAAGGTTTTGAAACAAAATCACCGCTTCAATACTCTTCCATCCCAACATCCTCTTTCTCAGATTCGGTCTCTTCCTTGTCGACCTCCTCTTTTTTTCTTTCTCTCTACTTCTCTTATTTTTCTAACGTGTAAAATTTTTAATCCTAAACCTTATGCGTATATTTATACACATAAAAACTTAAATTATATTCCTAATAGGATTACCAAATAAAATAATTAAATTATACTCTTTAAATAATATAATATATATAAACATATATTATATTACATATACATATATATATCTCCCATAATTAACCATTGGGCAATTAAATCATATATCATATATATATATATATATATATATATATATATATATATCCATCCATAAATATATATATCCTTCCGTAACACTTATTAATTAATTATATTTATATATAATTAAAAATATATATATATTTATAATTATACCAAAAATAATCAAATAACCATGGGCCTTTATTAATTAACCCAATAAAGCTTCATCCAAGCCCAAGATCATATCATTTGGTCCAACCTTCCTTACGTCCAAGCCCATTAACTTAAATAAATAAAATAATCCAATTAAGTCTAATAATTATAATTAGTTCACAATAAAATCACACTAGCATAAAAAAACACACGTAATCAAATAAATAACTTAAAACAACCCAATCATGACATTCTCACAAAGCAAACCAACACACCAATTCAACAAATATAATCACGAAACATAATTTAATAAAAATAAGACCATTAACCATAACACTCAATTAAATCAAACAAATCATTTAAAAATTAAATAAAGTAATTAATCCAACAAATCATTTAAAAATAAAATAAAAATAATTATTTCCAACTAAATCAAACAAATCATTTAAAAATCAAATAAAAAGAATTAATCCTACTTAATAAATCTTTTATAAAATATCGGGGTATTACATTCTTCACCCCTAACAAAAGGAATTCCGTCCTCGGAATTCATGAATTCATGACATGAAACTCTGGTTATTTAATCCAAATTTTCATTCTTTCTTTATCCGTGTGGAATTAATCCATCCACACCTGCTTATAATTAGCAGACATATCTTGTAATTTATTAAGGCTATGCTAAACTAATCCATACTTGTTGCATGTATGTGCAACATAACCTCACCAACTTATATACGTTAGGAAATTTTCCCATTACTCTATTTTCTTACAGCAAAAATACAGGAAGTCCGTTTACACACACATGATGTGCAAAATATAATAGCGCCAACAATAGACTCTGGCCTAATCAAACCAAAATATGAATAATCCACATAATGAGATAATAACCTCCACGTTATTGCTAATTCACGTTATACTCGTTTTGAAAAAATGCTTTAGGTAATAACCCGCTTTCCATTTTCGAACTCTATTAGACGAGTTTATGATAACCTAATTATTTCGCCTATTATGATAGTGCACAAAAGATCTCTAATAAAAGTAATCTCCATAAATATGTCCTTAATTAATATAGGACTCATAATTCAACTCTTTTTTAAATAAGTATCCACGAATGGAAAATCGTTAAAGATCGTCCATACAAATCCTTAAGCAATGTCATACCAATACGTAACTCTGAAAGCTTTATTTAACGCTCTCAATTGATCTTGGTTAAATCCTTAAACCAAATTACCTCTAACATACCAACCATTTTGTATCGTGTTGACGTTTAAGAATATCTGCAACTACTTTCATCCTCCTGGACAATACTGAGTGTAGAAAGTAATAACTTCTTATAATTCAGTTATCTACTCTATCTCGTACCTATGGTTACTATATAAACATAAACTATCGACCTTTGTAGTCTATGCTATTTAATCAGTTTCCACACCAGATATTGTCTCCCTACATACTGGTTTAGCATACGATTTTAACACCGACGCTTTTGCCTCCTCCAATACTGAGGAGGCCCGATAGGACATGGGCCGGATATGACTTGCAAACGCGGCATTGAGTCCATACAGGTGGGTCAGGCCCATAAAAAGGCACTACCATATGGGCCGAACGCGCATAGGCCCATCAAAGAGGACCGGGACTCATGGAGGAACGGGCCTAGATCCAGCAGTCCATCGACATTTGTAAATCTCTATAAATAGGAGGAGTAAGGTAAAGAAAGGGGGATCTTTTTTGGGTTGAGATATAGGAATTCTAGAGAGAGAGTGGGAAAAGGAATTTCTTGTATCTTCAATTCGCGCCGTCTGTGGGAATCGCATGGAAGTTTGGTTGATCAATGAGGAATATCGAGTGGATTCAGACCAATTCGGTTGATCGAGACTCGATCTTTGGGAGTTGGATCCAGATCTGAGCGATTGTGACCTACTCTGGAGGAATTTCAGTTCTTGAAGCTTTGGCAGAAGTGGCTTCAGATCTACGCAACAACGAGTTGTTCGATTGTGGTAGGATCTGACGGATTTAGAATTCAGACAATTCAGATCTCGTCAACGGTGAGCATAATTCGGAGAATTCGAAACCAGATCTGAAAAATTCCCACTCACGAAGCTCGGATCTACTCGCGAACTTGAGATTAATGCCTTTACTCCGTTCAGGAATAATGATAGGTGAAAGCTCCAATCCGATGGAGGCTGTCCAGCAAACAAAGCTTGAGGAGTTGATGAACTTGATCGAAGCTCTCAAAAAAGAGAATGCAGAATTGAAAGCTGGAATGCAACATCAGCAAATACCTGCGGTTTTGCATCCACTTTCGGTCGGTGAAGGAGGTGTTCAATCTAATATCGCGCGTCAAGGCGAGCAGGACGAGAACAATCAGTCAGCTCACCACCGTGATGAAAGGATGATGGACAATTTGCCGCCAAATGTTCGTCGAGTTGAGGATCACGAAGGATCGACTCACGTTGATCCACGACATGAGCAGATTAGACAGAATGAAGCCATAACCTTCGATCCGCATCGGGAAAGGTTCGACCGAGAGGAAGTGATAGAGGTTGATCGCCGTCGAGTAGCGTCGCCTTGGCAAAGAGAGTTCATAGAGGAACGGTTGTTCGATCCGTCTTACCGGCCCTCCATGGCTACAATCACTCATCGCGGTTCGGAGGGCAGAACCGTAACTCACAGAGCTACCGCTGGACTCCAGAGAGAGAATGAAACTCTCCGATCCGCAGCTCGGACGGTTGATTCACCATTCACCGACGAGATCCTGAATGCCCCGCATCCAAGGAAGTTTGTTATGCCAGTCTTTATTCTGTTTGACGGAACAACCGATCCGATCGATCATGTGTACCATATCCAGTTGAAAATGGCCCTGAATACGGAAAACGACTCTTTAATGTGCAAATGTTTCCCTACAAGCCTAGCCGGACCGGCGCTCAGCTGGTTCAAAAACTTGCCTAGGAGCTCCATTGGTAGCTTCAGAAACCTGTGCGATCGGTTCATAAGCCAGTACTATGGGAACAAGCGTCCGCCGAAGGACATCTCGAGCCTATTCACAATGAGACAGCACAAAGATGAACGTCTCCAGGCTTTTCTCACCAGATTTAATCTCACTAAGAGTATGGTGATCGAATGCCACCCTTCTACAGCAGTTCAAGCCTTCAAGTTAGCCATGACACGTGGAACTCCGTTTCACACCAGTTTGGTAGTGAACACGTCGATGACTATGGATGAACTCAATGAAAGAGCCGATGGCTTTGTGCGCCTAGAAGAAGAGGAGGCAGCTAATGCTCGGACAGCGTCGCTCGTGTCGACCGAGGAAAAGTCCAAGGCAAAGATCAGGCAGAAGCAGGCTCAGCCGCAACGTCAGACCTCCTGGAAGGCAGAAAAAAGGTCCAGGGAGGAAAAGCTGATTACTCCGCTGAAGGTCACTCTGGCGAGGCTATATCAGGAGAACAAAGATAAGTTTCATCCACCACTGCCAATTAGGCAACCCCTCGAACAGAGGGATCAGACTAAACATTATGCTTTCCATTCCGATTTCGGTCATCAGACTAACGAATGCAGGAATTTGAGGAGGCAAGTGGAGATGTTGATAGCTAGAGGGGAGTTCGCGAGTTATGTTCAAGGCTCGGTGATAGAGCAGAATTGACCGGTGGAACAAATAAAAAGGAGTCATAAACAAAGCTCCCACAATTCACAACCAGTTCGTATAATCAATGCTATCCATGGTCGACCCGAGCCTAGCGAAGAGTCAGATGGGCTACTCCGAGCGCGCCTACGGCAGGCGCAGATGAAGAAAAGGGTCAGCAGTATGAATACTCTACACCAGCAGATCCCGTCGATGCAGATAAAGTTCGACTGGACAGACCTGCAGCGTGTTCAACTCCCCCATGAAGACCCGTTGGTAGTCAGTTTGACAATGGCGGACTGCTTGGTGCGCAGAGTTCTGATCGATCCCGGGAGCAGTGCGAATGTCATGCCGAGGGACACATTTGATCGGCTCGAGATTAAACCAGAGAGGCTCAAGCCCACTGGAAATCCCCTGTTAGGGTTCGATGGTAAGAGGGTGGAGCCCGTCGGAATGGTGGAAGTAGAAGTTCAAGCTGCAGAACGGGCTCTTATGGAAACTTTTGTAGTTGTAGAAATTCACCCCTCGTATAACCTCCTAATGGGAAGAGGATGGATTCACAGAATCCAAGGTGTACCCTCAACTCTGCATCAGGTCATGAGGTGCCTCGGACCCGATGGAAATAAAGTGATAGACATTTGGGGGGATCAGGTTGCAGCCAAAAAGTGTTATTCCGTCACGCTAAAGTATGCTGGGAAAGGGAAGGCGTCCGTCCGACCGGCAAGCCCCAGATAGCAATTACAGGAACCTCCGCCCGAGCAAAACAGGGTGGAGGAGTTAGTTGACTTGACCGAAGAGCCCCTTCTGGATGTGCAGATCGATCAGTCCAGGCCAGAACGAACTACCAGAGTAGGAATAAGACTGACCAGAGAAGAACAGCAAGAGCTAGTGGACTTCTTGTCCCACAATGCCGACGTATTTGCATGGAGTCACCTAGACATGCCTGGAATTAATCCCTCCGTATCCTGTCATTCCCTGAATGTCAATCCCAATTTCAAATCAATGAAACAGAAGCAACGCAGATTTGCTCCAGAACGCAATCAAATCATAGCGGAAGAAGTTGATAAGCTGCTTGATGCGGGATTTATCAGAGAAGTACACTACCCTGATTGGTTGTCCAACGTCGTTGTCGTGCAGAAGAAGAATGGGAAATGGCGAGTATGCATTGATTTCACCAATTTGAACAAAGCCTGTCCGAAGGACAGCTTCCCGCTGCCTAAGATTGATCAAATGGTTGATGCCACCACCGGGTATGAGCGTTTAACCTTTCTGGACGCTTATTCAAGTTATAATCAGATCCCTATGGACCCCGCAGATGAAGAAAAAACTTCTTTTGTAACCGAGCGAGGAACATACTGCTACAAAGTTATGCCTTTCGGACTAAAGAATGCGGGAGCAACTTATCAAAGACTTGTTAGCAAAATTTTCAAGAATCAAATAGGAAAGATTGTGGAAGCCTATATTGATGATATGGTGGTAAAGAGTAGGAAGAAGGATGATCATCTGAAACATCTGCAAGATGTATTTGATGTACTAAAGCGATATGGGATGAGGCTCAACCCAACCAAGTGCTCGTTCGGTGTGAGTTCCGGTCAGTTTTTGGGACACGTGGTCAACCGCAGAGGCATCGAAGTTAGCCCCGCTCAAGCAGAGGCTTTGATTAAGAATGCCGAGCCAAAGACGATCAGAGAAGTGCAAGCCCTCACAGGACGAATAGCTGCATTAAGTCGATTCATTTCAAAATTGTCAGATCGCTGCAAGCCGTTCTTTGACACGATTCGGAGCCATGGAAGACAGGTCTGGGGGGATGAGCAATGACAAGCATTGACCCATTTGAAGGAATATATGCAGAATCCACCAGTCCTGTCAGCCCCGAATCCAGAAGAAAAGTTATTTCTATACCTTGGAGTATCTGGTGTCGCGACAAGTGCCGTTCTGATTCGTTGCAAGGAAGGGGTGCAATACCCGGTATTTTATGTAAGCAAAACAATGACAGAGGCAGAACAAAGATACTCAAAGGCCGAACGGGTGATACTTGCACTGGTAAATGCAAAAAGAAAGTTGAGGCATTATTTCGAATCCCACCCTATAGCTGTTCTAACAACTTTTCCAATCAGAACGCTTATGCATAAGCCAGAGCTCTCGGGCAGAATGACAAAGTGGGCCATAAAGTTAAGTTCATTTGACATAACGTATGAGCCGAGAACAGCTGTCAAAGGGCAAGCGGTAGCCGATTTCCTGCTAGAATGTGATTCCGAGGATACGGAAGAAAACCTTAGATGCGGCTCTTGGAAACTTTTTGTGGATGGCTCCTCTAACCAGATGGGGGCGGGAATTGGGGTCAAACTGCAAACCCCTGAGGGTACTTCTTTGAGTCAAGCACTCAGACTTAAGTTCTGAGCCACCAATAATGAAGCAGAATACGAGGCGTTGCTGAATGGGTTAAAGTTGGCCAGAGAGCTACAGGTCAAAAGTTTGACTATTTATAGTGACTCGCAGTTGATTGTTCGGCAGGTAAATGGTGAGTACGCGACCAAGGATGACACGATGGGGGCATATCGTTCTGCCGTTCTGCATAAAGCCAAGGACTTTGCAAAAATTGAATTCATACAGTTACCGAGGGAACAGAATGCAGATGCGGACCGGTTAGCATGTAGTGCTTCGAGTTCCGGTGAAACATTGGCGAGGGTGATTCCAGTAGGAATATTGACCCAGCCATCTATTTTCGAAGAACCCTTGGACTCTGACCCTTGGCAAGTCAACGTCATACCGTATGAACCGAGTTGGATTGACCCCATCATTACTTATATTCGAGATGGCGTTTTGCCTATGCAAAGGGATGAAGCTAGGAAACTCAAAAAGAATGCTGCGAAGTACGCCATCGTGGATAACCAGCTGTACAGAAGATCCTACTCTGGCCCATACTTGAAGTGTGTCACCCCCGCGGAGTCGCAGCAGGTATTGTGAGCTATTCATG